TCGGACCAAGTTATACCCGCCTCTTTCAAGCCTTATCCAAGCAAGGGTTACATCTTAGCTGGATTTGTGGATTATCCAGTATGATAGAAATTGGTTTTTATTGGTTGTTTATTTTCTATTGAAAAGTACTGTTACACGAATTTTTATATTGTTTTACAATAGAAATTTAAATTCGAATTGGACAAGTTAAAATTTTTTATAATTAAGATCATCTAAAATTTTACCAGATTGTTTTTTAGAAGCATAACTTTCATATAAACGTTTGGGATCAAGTGGGATCAAGTGTTCCGCCAACTTTTACTAGAAGCGATTCTGACAATGCCTGTATGTATTACATTAAATTTTTTGCAATTTAAAACGAAATAGTTAATAAAAATCCACTGTTTTTTCGATTAAAAGTTTCGAACTTCACGTGAGCAAGTTATAAAGTGTTAGGTATCAATCGGTTTTACAAAAAAAGGGTATCGCGAGATAACGTGAGGTTAATCCTTAGTTTTAACTAATCAAATTTTGTTATTTATAAAATGTCGATCATTTTTTTGGCCAATCAATCCAAATTTCCATCATGCTGGATTATCCCGGTTCATTTATATAGATTAGTTGAACCCGAACCTCTGTGTAACCAAACCTCCGGACGAGTTCTAGCCTAGAACCAATCCTCACTTTTTCAACGGCTAAGTAGATCCCTGCCAATTTTAGGGATCCCGTGCTTTAAAGAGCTTTAATCGCTTTTAATGCTTTAAATGCTTTAAAGTGATTAAAGCACGATCTCTCTTATAAGCATTTTAAGAGATTAATTTAAATGTTTATAATCATTTTATGTATTAAAAGCGCGATAAGTCTTTTAAGCATTAAAAGACTTATCGGCAAACCTATTGTTCAAGAATGTATATAAACGGGCACTTTTGCCCTTCAATAAAAATATCGTTCAATCGATACATTTTGCCTGCTCATAAATAAATTGTCCAAACCCTCCTTTGACCCAAATCCGCTAAACAATTCCAAACCCGTCTTCGCTAAAGTAATAAACTATTCCTTGAGTATAACGTTACTCTGTTGTAAAGAGTAAACCCGAATCGTTCGTCTTGAGTAAAAGAGAACTTGCCGAGAATCTATTAGTGATTATCCTAAAAGAGAGGATAAGTAGATTAAGGAAGTTAAAGAAAACTCAACGAACCTTGGTGATAATAAAGAAGTAACGTGACACCAGCGATAACCGAAGCCTTGGAATTTCCTTTGCCGAATCACTACGCCTTCTTTCGATAAGTTATCTTGAGACGTTACACGGAAGACTTGAAGATTGAGCGACTGACTCGCCGTTTTCCAGGACGACAATATAAAGAAAAACAATATAGTAGAAACCGGAAAAAAAAATAAAATAACAATAATAATAAAAAAATAAAAAGTAAAATAATAATAAAATAAAAAATTAATAAATAAAAAAAATATCCAATAATTAACAGGGGTAGACTAAAAAACTTTTTAATTCGTTACACCAGGCAAATTTGCCTGGAAAATTCGTGTAACAATACCTCCCCTACGATATTAGCTTATATATGACAAACAGCCCTAGCGTTACCAATCTAAAAAATTTCGCTATCTGGTCGAATTAAAATTCAAGATCAGGTGTAACATAAAATCAAACAAAATAAACCCAAACCCTAACCCTAATGCCAGTAGCGAAATTTTTTTAGGTTGGTAACGCTAGGGTGCCATATATGACACCTCCCTAACCGCGATAATCATCACCGGTGTGTACGTAATTAGTAAATAACGACAAACCTTTTTTCTTAATAAGCCAAGAGGTTCGATATTAGGAAGAATTGGCTGAATATTTAAAACATAATTATGTTAAGAATATTTTTTATAATATAAACATAGTGATGATGTTAAAACGTTTAGTCGGCATCACTACGTAGTGCTAAAACGTTTTATTTTATGTGTAACCCATTTAAACTGAATTTAGATATAAAAACAAAATAACTGTACTACAAACTCTTATTAGTGTTAATTAATTATTGTGGGAAAATTTTTAATATTTTAATATCGATATCGATATGAAATCTTTGAAATTTTTTCAAATCGAGATCCCTAGTTTTCAGCCCCCCACAATTATTGTGATATTGTGTTGCGTATCACCAAAAAAAAAAAATTAGTGCGAATACTGCATTTTTAGTTTGTTAACATGGTCAATATTAATTCTAATATTGAAATATTTTTGAATTATTCTCCCTATGTACGTTCTCGGTCTTCTTCAGGTAGTTATAATAGTGATCATCAAAGTATAGAGAGTTCCTCAAAATATTTTGAATGGTTAGAAAAGGCTATAGGTGACAGTTATATAACACATTTTAAATATAATGACTTTAGTAATATCAAAACAATCGGAAAAGGTAAAATTTTTATATCAGCTCAGGCTTATTAAATAATCTAATGCTAATAAATTTAATATATTTAAAGGGAGATATGGTATTGTACAATCAGCCGAATATCTTGGAACAAAGCTTGCATTAAAATCTTTCTCTAATAATTCGATAAAAGAATTTGTTAGTGAGGTAATCTGCTATTAAAAAAATTATCTATCCGGTTTGTAGGATTACAATATATTTCCCTGAGTTATTTCTCACGACGCTATATTTACAGCATGTTTCCTTAACAAGACAAATTTCAGACCTAGCATGTTTTAATAACCCTTTTCTCAATAAGACATATTTCTGACAAGGCAATTCCATAACATGATTTCGCCTACTTCTTTATTTGAATCTAATAATAACCGACTGTAACTTTAAATTGGGCAACCTTAATGATTGTCAGATAATAAGTATCATGATGTTGGAGAAATGTCCTATTAGAAATATGTTTCGCCAGAGAAAAGGATTATCAAAACATATAATTTCAGACATTTGTCTTGTCAGCAATATTTGTTCTTGGTTGCAGGGAACCAACTCTCAGGGAATTGAGTGACAACGATTAAAGTCTATATTTAACAAATAATTCCATTATCGTTATATATGTAGTTTAGGCAAATGCGTACTGTTAACTTTCATCAAAATATTATCAAATACCATGGAGTTAGCTTTGGTATATAAAACATCATATTTGCATATAAAAATTATAAAAATTATTTTTGAATTATATTCATTAGGTATAATTTTTAATTCAGAATCGAATAATGCTATTATGGTAATGCAATTAGCAAATCGTGGAAATCTACGAGATTATTTAAAATGTAAATGGGAAAATGACAATTATAAAGTATCATTTTCTGAGATTATTCAAATTGCACAACAAATCACTCGTGGATTAAAATTTTTACATTCTAAAAAAATCATACATCGTAACTTAGTGAGTACTTGCTTTTTATTTCTTTTCAATTAAATTTTTTAAAAAATATATAATTTTAAAATATTATCCAATTATTTAGCATTCTAAAAACATTCTAATGCATGATGATTGTGTCTTGATTTCTGATTTCGGATCATCAAAAAAATTTAATGATTCTTTGGTCTCTTCAACCTTAAAAGGAGGTATGCCGGCATACCTCGAACCTCAATATTATACTAATAGAATGTTCAAATTAGATGAGAAATCTGATATCTATAGTTTAGGTGTATTATTCTGGGAGCTTTCAAGTGGAACACCTCCATTTTATGGTCACGAACCAATCGAGGTTGCTATGATGATTGTAAAAGGCATTAGAGAAGAAAAGATTCCTGGTACTCCTGAAGATTATGCTAATCTTTTTGAGAAATGCTGGTCTGCTGAACGAGATCAACGTCCAGAACTTGATGAAACGTTAAAATACCTTGATAAGTTCTCAAAAGACACAACAAATAAATTTATAATATATAAACGAAATAATACTCTTTTGCATTCTGACAATAACTCTTATTTACCGGTAACTGGAAATAATATAATTATAAATGATATTATATTTGATAAAGCAAATAAACTAAGAAAACAGGGTCAGGAATACTACGAA